CTGGATGTATTGTGATTTGGCACACCCACCACCCCTCTTAAGACAGAATTTGCTGATCTAGAGGCAACCTTCGACTCTTGTCTTTGTACAGTGAGCTCCATCCCAGCTGTGCAAAAGCCTGAGGTTTCTACACCGCCACTGTCACCCACCCACTGCGTTCCTGATAACAATACCCCACACCCCACCACCTGACAGTGCAGCAGCAAATTGGGCAACAAGGGCTACCAAAAACAAAGATGTGTACAAGAGCAGAAGCTAAGGTTTTCTTTTTTTACAGACACACCCTTGTCCAGACAGAACTTCCTTGTCAGAAATGGAACCTCACAGAAATTCAGCAGAGTCCTAAACTGAAATTGGTGGTCATGAATCTTATCTGCAATGTTACTATGCTGCATTGATGCAGCTCCTGCATCCTTCCGACTCCCACTGCGTGGGGCAGCCAAGTCCTCACTCAAATCACAGGCATAACAAGGAATTGAGGTGCTACATGGTTTTCAAGAGCAGCCAACACTGCTGTACGTCATGTCATCAAAGGCAACCAATGAATGCCATAGGAGAGACAAGGCTGTAATTTGGAAACGGAGTATAAATCTTTATGGTTTATATATACATTTGTTTATATCTGACAGTTGTATGTAAGGAAGTTAAACCACTGTTCATTTGCTGTTCACCATCTGACTTCCTTGTTTCCTCAGATTATTTGTACAGTTAGTACATGGACTCAGCTGCATTAGTGAAGAAACAACTGTTTGAATGCGCTATAAACATGCAACACTAGATGGTGCAAGAGAGCAGGAAATTTTTATATGCGTTTTTCCATAGGGTTTGTTGTTATAACGATCTAATTTCTGACTTACTTATAGTGGTGGGAGGGGGTGTTTCCTGTGTGTAGATCCACGCTATGATTACTTCCAAACTTTGTTCACTGACAGTGAATGAGGCTATGTGAATGGAATTTTGTCAGTGGAGGGCAGTAGGAGCTGTGTCTCGGAACCAAACAGCAACCTATAGTATTGCAGTGAATGCTAAAAGTTGAACATATATGCCTTTCTACACACTTATTCTTGGCTGTATTAAACTAATCTTTAAAAAGCCATTTATTGCATATTCTCTGTTTGATCCTAAGGATGGAGACAGACAGGAGTTTTTAAGAGCTGACGCATGATGATCATGCCCATTCTGATAAGCTGTTCTTTTCTCTTTTTTAATAACCAACATTGACCAATGATAGTAACATTGCTTACATTTTAGATTAACTGTTAACTGAGCTTCAGATATACATTATGCAGGCTAATAACATTTTCAGAAAGGCTGTCATCCAATTAAAGATTAATCTGCTAAACCCCATACCATTAATCTAAGAATTAAATTTGCAAATGGGTAAAAACAGTATTTCTAAAGCAAGGCACAAATACACTTTTGTGAGGAGGAAGAGAAGTTCCACTCTTGTGTCTGGTCAAACAACAGTTGGGATTTTCACTGTGCTTCAGAAATATATAGAAATGTGCATCATATCAAACTTAACACTCTGGAGTGAAAAAAATAATTTATCTCAAGCCTGAAAGTAGAAGACATCCCTCCCTATTGTGGTTAAACCATGACTGAGATCAAGGGAACCATTTTAAGCACCCTCCCATGTATCTCTGACACCCACTTCCTGTTTTTTCTTACCAACCGCGTCAAAAAGCTTCAAACATTTCGATGTATGAAGCAGGCCACAGAAGCAGGCGAGTGAGACTGGGGTGTGATTTCTTTGCTGAGCTTCGCTCTAGTTTGCTGTAAAATGTCTAATTTGGGGAAGAATTGGCCGCTTGCAAAGGAGCCTAACATGGGATTGACAAAAGGTGTTGCAGAGAGGCACTGATCCTGCATGGTTCAGAGTGCTTCCCCGCAGAGAATTGACCCCTCTGCTCTTGGTCAGAAGTCATGTGGGGAGGAGGTGCAACATTGCCAAGCTAATTTGGGACCGGATTCAGGGCAGGTGATTCCTGGGTGGGCCAAGATCCGGGCCATAGGTGGGTGCAGGGGCTTTGCACACAGCTCTAGTATTTTACCAATAAGCATGTTCATCTGGCTGCAGGGATGCTGATAATCTTCTCTTTAAACTTCACCCAGGGCATTTCACTGCTAAGCTAAGGGCAAGGTGATGTCTTCTCACCATTTCACATACAGAAGCAGACTGGACTGGCAGCTGAAGCTTACTTCAACAGTGGCAATGGGACACCGTCTTCTGCACTTGAAGGCAGCTGGCTAAGTTAGGTGGACAGGGTAGGTCACAGTGCACACACTGTGTCCACTCTTTGCCGCTCAACATTTGCCACACTCTGTCTCATGGTAGCGCTGCCCCTGACTTCACTGACATTGACAGGCAATAGTAACATTGCTTATGTCCTAAATTTCCTGTTGACTGAGTTTGAGATATGCACTCCTTGGCTAATACATTTTCAATAAGTCTGTCACCCAGTTAAAGAAATCTTTAGTAGTTTAATCTACTAAAAAATTATGATTAAATATTCAGTTGAGTAAAAGCAGTTGTTCTAAAGCAACATGGATATGCTTTGCTTTTGGTGACACAGAGGGGGGCAATTGTCAAAGCAGGAGTGGGCATCACAATTATTAGTCTGTTTTCCAGCAAAAAAAAAAAAAGTATTGACACCAATGAAAATGCAATACACAGTGCCACCAGCATACACTGTGTATAAATGAAAATAAGACATGTCATGTAGGCCCTGCCCTCAGGCTTAGAAATTCAAAGGCAAGACTTAGCAGAGGAAGCAGGGAAAGAAAAAAGCAAGAGGAAAGAAATCTGTCTGATAATGCCAGAAGAAAGAAAAGAGATGTTAAGAACCAATTACATCTGGTTGGGTCCATGCTGAACTTCCCTCGCTGGTGTTCCTGTTGAGATGGAGGTGGTGCAACAACTACCCAGAAGTCTTTTGCCAAAGGCAATTGGCAGGCGGTTGCCCCCCTACGTCAGCACTGCTGGTTGCGGTAAGGTCGACGTTACTGTGGCAACAGCTGATGTTAGCACAGTGGCTTGACAGAAAAACACTTCCTCTCTCCCATGCTATATTCAACCTGCAGCTGTAGAGAAAATGGAAATATCCTCCCACAGAATACCTCCTCATTTATTTATTTTTAAACCACACACCTAAAAGCCCACCCACCTCGAGAGTTGTGCATGAGCAGAGACACTGGGTCAACCTCATGTGGTGATATTAGCCCTTGGCTCTTCCACCCTCGGTAGGGAACTGCAGTAAATTCTGGCAAACGGGTCTGTATATGTGTGTGGTACCACAGGGCAAAGTGCCTTAGTAACCTTTGTGACACAAATTTGTACAATACAGCCAGCATAGAGGTCTGTGTCTTCTTGAAATTCCTAGCCAAGTTGTTTCTCCAAGTTGCACAGGTAGCTGATGTAGTGACGTCCAGATATTGGTGGACTACAACTCCCATCAGCACCTTGGGGCATCACAACTATAGCATAGTGCACATGCAGAACAGAAGGCGAGAGGTGAGGGAGCTGAATTTTGGTCTCGCACAGGGCACTGCTGAAATTTGAAAGACCAAAGTGCCCCCCCCCCGCCCTTGTGTGTGCTGAGGAAGCACATGCAGAAATTTGCTTCGCCGCATATTTATTATTTTTTGAAAAATGATATCCTGCTTTTCATCATGTAGGTCTCACAATAAAGGTTACAACATACAAAATTAAAAAAAACATAAACCTCCAAAATTTAAAACCTCAAGAACTGAAAATCCTTCTTTAAAACATGTAAAATGTTTAGGTTTCACAGACCTCCTGAAATAGAGCAATTTTGACTAGGTGTCTGAAACTCAGGAGGGGCAGTGCTTGTCTAATTTATTGTTAGGCCCCTAATTTTAAAAATACGAAATTATTTGTGAGCAAGTAGTTCATCTACTTTATCAGCAGAGTACTTAGTACAGGTACTCTGGCTCCTTGCAGTCAAGGTGTTTTGCTTATTAATTTGGTACGCTTATATCTTGCTGCATCTCTTCCAATGTGGATCTCAAAGGTTCCCATACAGCTTCTCCCCCAGACCCTGGTGAGATCCAGACATGCTTAGCTTCTGCACAGTTGCCACATCCTCCTCCCTTCAGGCCACGTCATGAAAGACAGCTGCTAGCAGGCAGTTCCAGGATTCATAAGAAACGGGCCCTGACCACATCCTCTAAATGTTTTTTTTTTTTTAAGTTCACTCTGCTTGAGTACAGTAGGGGAGGAAGAAGCATAGAGGGCGCTGATTGGAACTGAACTCTCCAAACACTGCAAAACGGTTAATGTAGTTCAATGGGAACAGTGTGTACAGTGATGAACACTGGGGGGGGGGGAATCCTAACTTTACATATACACTGATGGGGTCTGGTTTACTACGAGGTAAACATGCTCAGGGGGACGCGGGTGGCGCTGTGGGTAAAAGCCTCAGCGCCTAGGGCTTGCCGATCGAAAGGTCGGCGGTTCAAATCCCCGCGGTGGGGTGCGCTCCTGTTGTTCGGTCCCAGCGCCTGCCAACCTAGCAGTTTGAAAGCACCCTCGGGTGCAAGTAGATAAATAGGGACCGCTTACTAGCGGGAAGGTAAACGGCGTTCCGTGTGCGGCTCTGGCTCACCAGATGCAGCTTGTCACGCTGGCCACGTGACCCGGAAGTGTCTCTAGACAGCGCTGGCCCCCGGCCTCTTGAGTGAGATGGGCGCACAACCCTAGAGTCTGTCAAGACTGGCCCGTACAGGCAGGGGTACCTTTACCTTTAACTTTAAACATGCTCAGGGGACGTGGGTGGTGCTGTGGGTTAAACCACAGAGCCTAGTGATGGGGTGAGCTCCTGTTGCCCGGTCTCTGCTTCTGCTGACCTAGCAGTTTGAAAGCACATCAAAGTGCAAGTAGATAAATAGGTATCGCTCTGGTGGGAAGGTAAATGGCGTTTCTGTGCGCTTCACCAGAAGCGGCTTAGTCATGCTGGCCACATGACCCGGAAGCTGTACGCCGGCTCTCTCAGCCAATAAAGCGAGATGAGCGCCGCAACCCGACTCGTCCACGACTGGACCTAATGGTCAGGGGTCCCTTTACCTTTAAACGTGCTCAGAATTGCAGCCTTGTTCATTGCTATATTTTGCTCCTCCATTGTCTATCCTTCCTTTCTTCCTTTAGAGCATTTCAGGGGCCTAATCCAGCCTACCGGTTGATTTAAACAGGCCCCAGTGGCAGTATATGTCCCGGGGGGAAATCCTAAAAGCTCAACAACCTCAACCCTAAACAAAGCTCAAGAACTTTGGTCAGCCCTCACGCATGTTCACTTCATCAAACCTGACTCTTTGGAAAAAGTTTGGGCACCCCTGCTTTAGAGAGTTCAGAGTTTGAAAGCTGCAGGTTGTTGCCCAGATATTCACTGAAGGATGCAGTACCTAGCCCACTTCAAGTCGTCAGACACGACTTTCTTCCTCTTCTACAGCTCGGTAGAGTCCAGGGATGAATTTCAGCAGCCTCTTCCGAACACTTCCCTTCCGGCTTTTCCGCGGGAGAGTCCCAAATATGTTCGAGACGTTGCTTCCATCCCAAGAGGGAGACGCTGACCCGCTGCTTGTCACACTGATGCTTCTGTGCCTTCTCAGGGAACTCTTAACAAAGGCAACATCACTGTCCCTCGAGAGGAAGCAGTCGTCTTCTGTGCTCGACTGCCAGCTAAAAGTCCCACTAGCAGGATCCTCTGAATCGTAGGCTTGGTAGAAGCTGTCCTCACTGTCCACAGTCATTGAGCTCAGGCGGCTTAAACAGCTGCTTTCGCTGGGAAATCGGGGTTTGTTGGCCAAAGCTGACCCTGATCCAGCGTAATCACCAAATAAGTTAGATTCTTCCAGTCCCACAAATTCAAGTGGTGAGCACATTTCCCCTAGGAAAGAGACAGAAGAGAACACGCATTAATTACCTCAAAACGCACAAGCTGGAATAATATACAGTGGTACCTCCGTTTATGAACTTGATTGGTTCTGGAGGTCCGTTCTTAACCCGAAACCATTCTTAACCTGAGGCACGCTTTTGCTAATGGGGCCTCCTGCCGCCACACCACCGGCATGTGACTTCTACTCGCATCCTGGGGCAAAGTTTGCTACCCAGAACACCTACTTCCAGGTTAGTGGAGCTTGTAACCCAAAGCGTTCATAAGGAGGGCGGTACATAACCCGAGGTTCCACGGTACTAAATGTACTGATCTTGCTGAAATATCATTGGAGCTCTCACTTTGGAATGGGGGAGAAATTACATTCAGTTTTCGTTTAAAGGTGATCCTTCCTAATTCACACTCTCTGAAACAGCATGAGAACCAAAACACAGCCATCTTTCAAAATTCACACTTTCCTGGATTTTGCAATGCAGTTTTCCAGCCAAGTAAGGTGTACAAAAATCCATACACTGTGGTAAAATGTGCATTAGATGCATATATTATTGAAAATAACATACAAAATTGAACTGTTATTATTTGAGGGCGGGGGGAATTACTTTGCAAAAATGTGTAAGGCAATATTGCATCCAGTTATGCAGATTAGGAGAAACGGGACTAAAATGCTGATGAATTTCCATTAGGACTTTTTCTTTTTTAAAAAATTGCAAACTGGTGCAGAAATGTGGAGATATGAAATTAAGGTTGGGGGGGGAATGCAAAATTGAATGAAACCGAAATTGACAGATCCACCCATTGCTAGCTCTCAGATGACACGATAAGCGCCCCAGTGGGCGGGGTGTGTGGTGTGGGTGTGTGTTTCACTTCTGCACATTGTGTGAATGTGAAAGCTGGTGAAGTGTAGTGGTAGGTGAGACTGAGCTATGAATTGTATCTGCCACGAACTTATCAGGGAGCCTTAGGCAAGTCTCTCTGTCATCTGCAGAAAGGGGAATAATAATAATAACTTTGCAGAGTCACTGTAAGGATTACAACTAAAAAATGCATGGTAAAGTACTCAAACACGCTATGCTAGGAATGGGGAACCTCAGGTCCAGGGGCCAAATGTGGCCCTCCAAGTCTCTCTGGCCTCTCTTGGAACTCTAACCCCTATTCACCCTCCCACCAGATGTCAAAGAGAAGAACAACTACCAGATTTTTAGAAGACATCTGAAGGCAGCCCTCTTTAGGGAAGCTTTTAATGTTTTAACAGACTACTGTATTTTAATGCTTTGTTGGAAGTCGCCCAGAGTGGCTGGGGAAACCCAGCCAGATGGGTGGGGTATAAATAATAAATTCTATTCTATTCTATTTTTCCCCTTCTTCACACCCCAAGTGTTTTTGCCTGACTAGAATGTGTCATTGAACTCTGATAATGCCTCTTGCTTGCTTGGGGGGTGTGAGCATGCACAGAGGAACTAGCCAACTCTACAGAGGTGTTCACCCTCATTGCTCTTTCTGCTCCTCCTTTCTTACATTTATATTCCACCTTTTCCTCTCTGTGGTTCTCCCCATTTTCTCCTCACAACAACCCTGTGATGTAGGTTAAGCCGAGAGATTGTGACCAGCCCAAGGTCACCCATAGCTGAGTGAGGATTCAAACCCTGACCTCCTAGGTTTTAGTCCAACACACCACAGTGGCTCCACATTTGCTCCTGGCCCTGCCAACCTCTGGAAGGTTGCTCAGAAGGGGAATGTTCCTCACCCCTATGCTATACAAATGTTAAATTCTATTTTTTACTTAGCCGGCCTGAGAGCTAGCGTAGTATAATGGTCAGAGCAGCAATGGCAAACTGATGACCCTTCAAATGGTGTGGGACACCAACTCTCATCAGCCCCGGTCAACATGACCAGTGGTCAGAGATCAGGTGAGCTGTAGTCAAACCATATCAGGAGAGCCACAGGTTACCAGCCCCTGCACTAAGAGCATCAAATTAAGGCTGGCAAGAATTGGATTAAAATCTCTACCCAGCAATGCAACTCAGTGCGCTGATGCTGGACCTGTCACCATCTCTCTCCCTAACCTACATCACTTAAACTCTTCATTGTTTCCAGGTCTCTGTGGAGGTCCCAGATCTCCTCTCTACCTTCCAAGTTTCCCTTACCTCCATTTTAGAGATAAGCCTAATTAATGTGACCTTCTATTTTGGGGCCAAAATCTGATTACACTTGTATCACATACTACGAATAATATTGTGTGTTTATACTGTAATCTGCCCTGTGATCCTCGGATGAAGGGCGGTATAGAAATTAAATAAATAATAAGTAAAGGCTGTTTATTAAGACTCTGAGGAATTCTGCTTTCTCCAGTGTGGCTCACAGCAGCCTGGAAAAATCAATACAAGTGGATACAAAAATCATGTATGTATATTTAAGGCATTTATAAACTGCCCTTCATAAATATCTACCCCCCAGGCAGTCTACAATGCAGATTAAAAACAAAATAGCAACAATAAGAAATAAAGGTAAATCAATAAAACAAATACAATTAAAAACAAATCGGCTGGATCAGCAAGGTGAAAAGCTTCATTTGCAGCGTTTAAAATGCAATTTCCTAAAAGCAGAAACTTCGAGCTAAAGACTACTGCATACACAATTCAGGCAAATGTTTTAATACCAGCCAGAGGTGTACAGTCAGTGTCATATGGCCACATTCACACCATATATTTAAAGTATTATCATATGAATTTAAACAGTAATAGCTTCCAATGAAGAGTTCTGGGAGCTGTAGCTAGATAAGGGTGCTGAGAGTTGGTAAGGTAAAGGTAAAGGTACCCCTGCCCGTACAGGCCAGTCTTGACAGACTCTGGGGTTGTGCGCCCATCTCACTCAAGAGGCCGGGGGCCAGCGCTGTCCAGAAACACTTCCGGGTCACGTGGCCAGCGTGACATCGCTGCTCTGGCGAGCCAGAGCTGCACATGGAAACGCCGTTTACCTTCCCGCTAGTAAGCGGTCCCTATTTATCTACTTGCACCCGGGAGTGCTTTCGAACTGCTAGGTTGGCAGGCGCTGGGACCGAGCAACGGGAGCGCACCCCGCCGCGGGGATTAGAACCGCCGACCTTTCGTTTGGCAAGCCCTAGGTGCTGAGGCTTTTACCCACAGCGCCACCCGCTGAGAGTTGGTATGAGACCCCTATTCCCCTCTCAGAGCTACAGTTCCCAAAGTGGTTCAACAATCAATTTATCTTCACAGGGGAGTCTGGGAATTGTAGCTCTTGAGAAGGGAGCAGGAGCTGCCTAACAACTCTCAGCACACTTATCAAACTGCGGCTCCCATAATTCTTTGGGGGAACTGAAGACTTATCATGGCAATTTATGCTATGGCCGGTGTTCTTCTATACAGCTTCTCCCAAACCTTTTATCTGCAGGAGAGAACAAAGGCAAACCCAAAATCTGAAACTCAGGAAACTCATTGACTCACTGGTGTTCACATCATTTTTGCAGAGGAAACTGGGGTGGTTATGCATTCTTAGTTTCTATCATAGGAAATTCAGCCTTACCATTAGCCAGGTGGTGTTCTCGTAAGCACAGTGACTGGAACTCCAGCAATTTTTCTTGCAGGGTTTTCTGTAAAAGGCAAGCAGAGATCACTGCAATTTGGGGCACAACACTTTATAAGGTAGCTCGGTTATACACTCAAGCCCCCATTGTGATTGTGACAAACGTGTCCAGTGATTTTCTCTGAATTGGTCCAGTTGTGTCTGAGGGATTTGTATTTGTTGTTAAATGCAGTTTAGTGTTTTATCCCTCTTTCTCATGTTGCCTTTTTCCTGTTGTTGTTTTTTTAAATCAGGATTTCAAATCCTGCCCCCCCCCAAGGGCATTGGAGTCAGTTGGACACTAATTAAAGTGAAGGCTGTTTTTTTTGTTTGGAGGGGAGAGGGAAGGAATAATGCATATCCAAGTTATTGGTGGGGGGGTCATGATGGACTTTGGGTATTCAGATTTCGAAATTTGCTTACTAGTCACACACCTGGGGAGTTGAAAAAAGCCCAAGGGAAACATCAGAATCTAAGAAAAATGACCAAGAAATTGAACTAGGTGGGTCTTTGGTCTTATCCAAAAGCATCTCCTTATGTTCTTATTGGGACACATAATCCCATCTCACTTTCCCCCAGAACAGCTGAGCAGTGACATTCTGTACTGTGTATCATAGATTACTGCAAATGTATGTATTGCTCTCCATTTCAACTCCAATCCCTTTCCTTAAATCCCAGTGCATTTCCTAAAGCTTCCCTTCCAAGAGAGAGAAAGATCATCATCAGGGAGTTTATCCAAGTTTTGGATAAGTGACAAGACAGCATTCTTCCTAGTTTGCCAGGCTTCATAATAATCAGCCACTGTGCTCTCTCATTAATCAGAGCAATGAAAAAGTTTGGCTCTGCGTTTCAAGCACATTTTGCTAGCTCTTTCTAGGCCGGATGGCAGGAGTCCCTTGCCTTCTTAGCTGCTTTAATCAAGGCACTTGCTACCATCCCAGGATTTGGTGTCATCTGGAGGTCAAGCACAGGTGGTGGCTTTGGGGTTATGTAAGCGGTTTGGCTGGGCCAGTGGCCTTCCCACGTTTCCTCCTTAAGTTTCAAGATTTTGTACCAGAGTGGAACAGCAGCAGAGTGAAAGGACCTTTCCCTCATATTCTCTGCTGGATATTGGCAGCATGGTTGCGGTGATGATTTATGGGAATTTCACAGCAGCGGCTAGTAACGGCTTAATCAAGATGAAGGCCCCATTGTGCAGCTAAAGAAACCTTTAACCCTGTCCCTGCCAGGATTTCACGCCCAATGAGTAGAAGGGAAGGTGAAATAAGTTTAACTCCGAATCAGGGACAAGAATTCATGACCTCTATGTTAAGGATAATGGTTTAATTTCCTGAGATGGGAATGTTCAGTTATAAATGCATAGGTGCTTCAAGTGACTAGGAAACCTACGTGATCAGGTCTCCAGTTAAGTGCAGAGGAGCCTGAGCATGTATGTGTGCAACTTTCCACTAGGTTCAGACCTTCCACTGAAAGTGTGGAGGAGGAGGAGGAGCAAGGCCAGTGGACACATTCTGCTTTTTCCTTTGGTGGTTCAGTATCTGTGCAACTGAAAATCCAAACAAGGCTACTGTTTCTACTGGGTGTTGTTCCATCATGAATTAGACAAGGAGTTACGTTGTTAAAAACTCTGCAAAGTGTGGCTTTCCAATCACCAGGAGCTAGGTGGAATCACATGATGCTTGCTGACTCCCCTCTCCCAATATACATATACGGGGGCTGAAATGTACTTTCCTGGCTTAAGCTGCAGGCACAGAGCCCAAGGAAAGCTGAACGGATGCCATTCTGCTTGAACTGCTGCCTGCACTAAGTCCTTTCCAGCAAGCAGAAAAGCTGGCTGCTCATTAATCACATTGCAAAATGAGTCAAAACTGGCAATAGAAGATTTAATAATTTTGCGTTCTTTTTATAACTGAAGACATGCAGCATTACGTTGAGGCCCATTTTCTGTCTTCTTCGTCTCCCCCAAATAGTGTCTAGGGCAGGTGCTCTACTCTTCATTATGCTAGCATTAGTGTAATAGCCATCAGAGATAGATGGGTCCCCCCCCCGGGAACTTTCCTCCTCCTCTCCCCTGCCCCCACCTTCATTGGGAGCAGTGGGCAGGGCTGGAGTAAAGTGGGTGGGGCCATTATTTTCCCCTTTCTGTTTCCCCTTCTCCTCCCTCATTCTCATTCTCTTTCTCTTTCTCCTCCTCTTCTCCCTAGCCCCCCCCCCAGTTGCCAGGGGAAGGATAGGATCAAAGATCTGAACTAATCTCCAACAAAGGGCTTCCTCCACCTCCTTTCATTGCTTCACCCATTTCAAATTTCCTCCCAACTCACCCCATGTTTTTTCCCTCCTGCTCTCCCTCTGAGCTCCCCTCACCTGCATTAAATTAGGCTGAGGGCAATTAACATCACCCAACTGCTGGCAACAAATGCAGCTGTTTTAGAACAAGGGTTATATGAGTTCTAAATGTAACTCCAACTGCTGCCTTTTGGACCAGTTGAAGCTCCTGAGTTATCTTGAAGGACAACCCCATATAGACTGGAACAGGCTGCCCCCCCCCACCGCCACTTTCTCGACTTGAGAACTTAGAACACATGACACCTCCATCCTTCAAGGATTTCATCACTGCCTCCAAACACCTGCCTAGCCCTTCAGCTGGCTCTCCTGATTCAGGTGGGACAGAGAAAAGGCTGGGTAGTTTCCCTGGATGCTGTGATTATAATGTTGCTACTTTGCATGGCAGATGTTGTTTTGTTGCTCTTATTGATTTGGGAGTATGTATATTGAATTTGCTTTTATGTCTCGTATTGTTTTTTGTTATCTGAACCACTCTGAGTTCACTTTGTGAAGAAAATCAAAGATATAAGCCCCTAAATAAACAAATGTATCTTCAGGTGGTTTCTGCATATAAAGGTTAAAACTGATGCTTTCTATCCTCTATATAGAATCAGTACCTTCAAGAACCGCAGCTTAGTTTCCAGTTCCATCCGCTTCATTATAAAGGACTCATTCACAGTATCTAACCTGCCAATAGTAAGTATTATTATTATTATTATTATTTATTATTATTATTTATTACCACTATTAATAAAATTTCATACTGCTAATATGAATGCAAGTTAAAATGTCAGGCATGCGTTTCCTGCATTGGACTGTGGCTCCAACTAGTCTTATATATACCAAATATAATCCATGCTAAAGCTCACAAGGAGAAGGGTTATAGCCATGCCTTGTTACTTCCCTCTGGCAAATATGAACGTTTGCAGACATCATTTACATACTTGATTTTTGAGACAGACAAGATTGCTATTATTGGGACAACAATGTTTTATATTTTGATTTTGTTCTGTGAACCCCCCGCCCCGCCCCGGCGAGACCTCCAGGTATAGGGTGATATATAAATTCAACAAATAAATAAAAATAAAATAAAAACAAGCTTAATAACTTCTGGCAGCTCAAGTGGATAAGGAGGCAAACTTGGGCTCATGGCATCACTGATTCTTGCCTGATCCAAGAGAACGTGTATTACTGGTTAAGAATGTGAATGGACTTGAAATCCATTTCTGATTAAATGCCATTAAATAGTGCCTGAGTAGTGGGGGCAAAGAGATATTCCAGGGTTGAGAAAGAGAAGGGGACATAGGAGAAAACAGCTGTACTTTTGTTAAGATGAGGAGCCTACATCCCCTCTGAGTTCTGTCCCATTGATATGTCCCAAAGGAGCCATAGGGTAACAAACCTTAATTGATTGTCATTTGTCAGCCAAATTTTAGGCTGTGTTGCAATTATCGGGCCACTCAGGCTCTAAGACTGGCAGGTGCAGCTTACTGTCCCATCACCTTGCTGTGAAGTGACATGAAAGAGGGCCTTATCTGTGGTGGCACCCAGACTACAATATTCCTCCTTCCTGGAGGTATGGCTAGCCACAATATTGTTGGAATTCTGTTGCCTTGTTAATAAAATGCTTGGTCTCTCGGGCTTTGGAGGGGCTTGCTTAAGCAGTTTTGAATTTTATTATGTATCTGGATTGTTCTACTGTACCCACAGTAGTGGTTTAAATTTAAACCACTTTGATTTAAATCTGTTGTCGTTTTAATTGTGTTTTATGGTTTGAAGTAATGCTGCTTTATTTAAAACGTTGCAAAGTCCTCTATGATCACAATGCGAAGAGTTGTCCGTAAGTTTCTTAAATAGATTGAATACTGTTTCAGATTCTGGACTTAATGGTTGTACAAACACCACCTTTTTCAGTTAAGCTCAATTTATGGTAAGCCAGCTCTGTTGCTGCATTTGGGCTCCTGCTCATTCTGCTGAGGGGGGCCCTGGACCTTTGCCCCAAAGTCCTGCCCTGAGTGCACCAATGGCTTTGATGGCAAATGCCTGTCTGCCTCCATACTCTCTCTAATGTTCTGAATCCTGGAATGTTTCTTGTGGCCTGTGCCCATTGCTGCCTTGGCCATTTCTCTGCAGCAATAACAAACCATGAGAAAACCCTTTTTGTCTTCTTGGGGGCAGAAGGGCTTTTGATTACCTCAAAAAGTTCCCTGATGACTTGATCAAGTCCACCATTTGCTTATGAGCAAGTCCTTCGGTGCTCATTCCGTTGATGTTGGTCAAAATATAACCTGTGATAATTCAAAAATGGACATAATTAGAGACTGTGTATTCATTGTTCCCTCTGTATCCTTAGAAAAAAGCAAATGGGAGAAGCAGTAAACCAGGTGTGGGAAACCTCAGGCCCAGGGTCTGACTGTGGCTGTCCACACATCCATGTCCAGGCCTCAAGACTCTGTCCAGGCCAGATGTGCCAACTTGAATAAAATATGGGGGGGGGACACAGGTAAGCCCTGCCACACATAATCAATCACATGATGCAGTGCATGCACACCATTTTAACAGCAATGCCCATCAACTTTGGGGGGGGGGTAAAGACCCCTCTGGCCCTAGAGGTTGACTCCTATGGTCCAGGCCAAACTGCTCACTGACTTGACTCTGTGCCATCTTGTAGTGATTTTATCTGACTAGAATGTATCCTTGAATTCTGGTGCCTCTTGCTTACCTGCATGGCAAGAGGGGTGTGTGTCTGTGGTGTCTGTGTCTACGTCCACACACACACACACACACACACACACACACACACACACCTGGTGTGTGGTCCCTGGAAAGTTGCCTGTGAGGAAATGTGGTCCTCAGGCTGAATATTTTCCCCATCCCCACAGTGAACTTTGTTTGGGTAAATTTTAGGGTGGGGGAAAAGGCTAGTTACCACTTTGGAGTCCGGCAAGAGAGGCAGGGCTTCCTCCTTTAACTTTGCAGATGTACGTGCAAGTTTCCAAGGAGTGGCTGATGTGGCGCTGCAATCGAAGTGTCTGTGAACAGAAACACAACGTTGGGAACAGGAAAAGGTTTATCTTGCGGCACCAGTTCACAGAAGTAGTATCGAAACTGGCTTACGTACCCATCAAACTGCATCCTCCCACCCATTCACTCTCCCACGCAACACTGAAACAAATGCTTCCTCTTTCTAAAAGATAAATAGTGGAGGGGAGGAACTAACAGGAACAAACAGTGTTCCCACCCAACAACAATGCTGTCGTTCTCCTTCCCAGACATTTGAAGAAGATCAGGAAGAAATTGCTCATATGGCACCACAAAAGAAAGTATGTGTCCAAGGCCCTGGTGTGTTACACAACTGTAAGACAGTCTGACAGTAGGTGTGTGTAATAATTCATTAAGCACCCAGCAGAACAGGGGGACAATTTTTTTATTATCATCTTTTATTAAATCTGTGTACCACCCTATACCTGTAGATCTCAGGGCGGTTCACAACATAAAATTACAATATCAAGGATCTGGTCAGAGGCAAAGCAATGTTTCTTAGGTCTCCTGCCTGGGCATAGCTATTGGCTACAACTAACAAAATGAAGGGACTGTGAAGCAAAACTAAAGTAACTGTTTAGTCATTATGACAGGACCTGATTAGGGCCAAAACAGTGTCCCCTCCCAAGGTTAGCTCAAGCCATTTTGCTGCCTGAGGCAGAGCAGCAAATGCTGCTGACACGGCCAACCAAGTGGTTTTGGCACCTTGAGCAGGAAATCTCACAAGCATCTCTGCCCCTCCCTGGCGATAAAAATAGAACAGTAACAATTTGCTGTCCTTTCATGACACCCCAAATCAGCTGCCTGAAGCGCCTAACTGCAGCGCTGGCCCTGCAACACCACCTCCCCACTCCAATGTTTAAATGCCCACAACAGATATTTCTCACAATACAGTGGTAACTCGGGTTAAGAACTTAATTCGTTCTGGAGGTCCGTTCTTAACCTGAAACTGTTCTTAACCTGAGGTACCACTTTAGCTAATGGGGCCTCCCACTGCTGCCACGCCGCCACCATGCAATTTCTGTTCTCATCCTGAAGCAAAGTTCTTAACCCAAGGTACTATTTCTGGGTTAGCAGGGTCTGTAACCTTGAAGCGTCTGTAACCTGAAGCATCTGTAACCCAAGGTACCACTATATAGCATTAGAAAAGGAAGGGAAGGGAAAGGAGGAAGAGGAACTCAGACGCCTTAGGGGCCTCTTTCATTCATCTCTGAGGCATTCAGTGCTGTGAGATCTTCTGAGCTCTCACAGAAAGCCCGACCCACCTCTTTATGCATAATAGCTGTTGTTGCTGTACCAGTTATATCCCAAGTTTCTTCCAATGGGGGTCAAGGTGCTGCACATGGCTCTTCATCGCCCCCATTTTATCCTCAACAACAACCCAGTGAGGTAGAGTAGACTGAGTAGAGTAGCTTTTTGACTATTTCAACCCTTCTCTTCCAGGTCCTAGTCCAGCACTCTAACCAGTAGGCCACACTGGGTCTTTCATAGTTATGAAATGCTGGCTTAGCATGGAATAAAGACCTCCCCATTCCAGTCAACATGGGGTAACAACCATGAGGAGCAGTTTAGCACCCCATGAAACATTCTCTTTCTAACGGTTGTGAAGAAGCGCTTCTGTTTTGTTTGTTTGCATTTTTGTCCCCTCCTTACTCCTTACATGGTTCTCCCCATTATATCCTCACAACAATTTTGTGTGGAAGGTTTGGCTGAGGGGAAAAAGCCAGGATCAGCTCCAGGTTTGAGAGAGCCAAGTATCCCATTGTGTACACACACACACACACACACACACACACACACACACACACCTGCTTACATGGATGAATGTGCTTGGGCTAACCTGATAATGGCAGCAGCACTCTAGAATGGTTTGAGAGCTCCCATTTTAATTTCCCTGCGTTCATAGTGTTAAAGGCTCACCTGAATTTCAAATCCAAATGTTTCATTATCTTCTTTGAAGATTTTAACTGACTTTCTGCAGAGAGAGAGATACACAGATACACACAAAGTCAATAACCCATTGGAAGGGAATAACATGTTTAAGGCTTAATTTAGAATAAATGTGCTGTACATCATAAGCATCAGTAGTTCTTAACAAGTGCTGTGCAATGAAAATCTAAAATCTCCCCACATCTCCAAAGATGTGGACAGGATTGTTTACAGGGCGTACATTATTGTACACATCACCAAATGGTCACTGTGAGAATGTGGATTGACTGGATGTGTGCAAAGCTGAGCATAAAAGGAAGCAATTGTGCCATTGCCTCTCATCTCCTGCAGCCAAGGATACTTGAGGAATTCATCTTCTGACCAGATCTGCACATCCCAGATTTAACAAGCATAACTGTACACAGTTATGCTTCAGATTTCACACTTCCCTGAATTCTGCGATGCAATTTTCAGATTCAAAAAAGATGAAGTACTGAAATGCATATAAAAATGTTTAGGATAAAATACATTTTAAAAGGGGGGAAATACATTCAAAAATACAAATTTTCATGCAGATTTGATTTTTGATTTTTTAAGTAGCAGAAATGGGAATGAATGGACTTTTGCACAAACACATCCAGAGTGACATGGATGAGAAATAGACTCATCCATTCATCCTCGCTCCCAGCTTACCTCCATGTTTTCCAGCATGGCATCATTTCAACCCACTTTTGAGTTCTGTGCTGGGCATATAGTGAAATGACCGCCTAATTGCTTCACCCTTCACAATACTATATGCATGAATCCTTTCTGTCCCTATATTTGGCTTCCCATTTTGGTTGTGTGGCCTGGGCCACTGAGTGAAAGGAACGTGTCACATATAAAGTGATGTCCCAGTTCCTCTGCACTCTGGCCTTCTGTCTACCCAATTGGTAGCACAGGGGAAATGACCAGCTGTGTACTGGAGAAATGATTTCAAATCCATTCCCAATATCATCGTTGTCAAAAGAAAGTATATACCACCTTTCATTTCAAGAAGAAATACGAAGGTGGTTAACTCTCTAATGATACTCTGCCACACTGCAATATGTAATGGTGGTTACATTAGCTACTGGGTTTAGGGATGGACTGTGGGTATGCATTGCTCAGTCTTTCCACAACTCTCCAGCCCACGGATTTCATTGTAATTGTTTGTTTTTTCACACTTTCATCTTCCTCTTTCAGTATCTGCCTTGGGCCTCCAAACACAATTATTGCATTTCTAGTAGCAGTGTAATGAACTAATATTTAGAGAGAGAAAGCAATGCTTTTATTACCTTTGAGGGCCAACAGAGTCACCTGAAGAGATTGTCCTACTTAAAGCAAGCTGGAAGGAGAAGAGAGAAGGGAGGGCGTTGCATTAGAAATTCATTTGTGTCTAGAAAACAAAATGCTAGATGAAAGCTTTACATATGCAAAACTGCCAATGAGAATTATGTATAAGCTCCACCTGGTCCAGGGTCCTTTGGACAGGGCCAAGCAGGTGACTCCGAAAGTTCGAAATTCAGGGCTTGATGAAGATGGTTACACCCTCTTGATTTCCCCCAGCTTAGGAACACACAAACGTTAAAAATGGCCCTCCTGGATCAAAGGCCCATCTGCATTCTAAACCCTACAGTGGTCAACCAGCTATTTCCAGGAATCCCTCAAGTGAGGGCAAAAAGGAAATACCGGTATCCCTTCTCTCCTGGTTGCTCACCAGCAGGTGGTGTTGGGTGGCATCCTGACTCTGGTTCAAGCACATATCGTGGCTACTAGCTGTTGATAAAGGCATCTCTCCAAAGAGTGCTGGCCCTACCATTAGGCAGAGTGAAGCTGCTGCCCCAGGCAACTGATTTTGGATGTCATGAAAGTGAATAAATTGTAAGTCGTGGGTTGCCTTTCAGTTGTGACTCTTCACTAACAGAAGTGGCTGTGCTTGCTCAAGGCAGGGCACTGGATTTTCAAAGAGTCCTCCTACCCAGTACAGCTCTTCCTGTTTTGCAGTATCTGCTTCTGAAGAATAGCGGACCCTCTGAAACAGAATGGGGTATGCCATAGAGGGTGCTATTGGTAGAAGGGATCAAGGGAAAATGGGGTGTCTCGTCTTGTGCTAGTGAAAGTGCATTGCTAGGGCAAAGGCACCATTTGATACAACATCAACAACAACAACGCGTTTACTTCCAGGGAAGGGGGAAAGGAGCTTATGGGATTTTCTTCCCCAGGTGCCAAAATAACTTGACTGGCTTTGGGTAATGTGCCAAAATACCTAGGGCCAGCCCTGACTCAGAGGCACCAACAACCCAGTCATCACCATTGCCTGAAGTTAAATGATTTACACTTGAGGGAACAAATTTCAGCTCCCAAAAGTGGAAAGCAAGAGCCTCTCTTGATTAAAAATATAATCCATCTCAGCACATTTGTCAACTGAGAGCAGTCCCAGGTATGGCACACCTTAGTCAATTTAGCAAGCAGCCAAGGAACTTATTGACAGAGGTGGCTTGAACGGTGAATTGATCTTGGGCCCAAAGCCCATGCCTATGGTTTCTTTCAAGATTTAACCACAGCACAAGCAAGCACTTCAGACCATGCCTGGCCACAAACCCTTTGAATCAACTGGGATTGCCTGTGCCAATCCTAGTACCTGCTTCTGTGCCCAGGGCCTGAGGAGAAACACCACATGGCAGCCTCCTTTCCAAGTCAACCTCCTTTCCTAATATTAGTACTCAAGTTGTTTTGGCATCCAAGGAAGAAAATCTTACAAGCACCTCTCCCACACAGTAGAATTAAAAAGATAACCCTTTGTTTCCACGTCGCAAAGCTCCAAATCAGCTGGCTGAGCCTCTGAGGCAGCTGCCTCCCCCTGCCTAAGGGGCAGACCAGCCCTAAAACAGTAGTCTAAGACATGGAAATTGAACAGGTGTAGATTTCTGTGGCACAGAGAAATGGTGGGAAAGCCTCACCTGCTAAATTTCTGTGATTCAGGTGGATAATATAGGCACAGCATCTAGGACTGTTAAAAGATTGCAACTCCAAAAGCGATAGACCAGGCACCCCCAAACTCAGCCCTCCAGCTGTTTTGGGACTACAACTCCCATCATCCCTAGCTAACAGGACCAGTGGTCAGGAATGATGGGGATTGTAGTCCCAAAACAGCTGGCGGGCCAAGTTTGGGGGTGCCTGCAATAGACAGTTCAGGGCTGGCTCAAGACATTTTGGCACTTGAGGCAAACCACAAAATGGTGCTATCCTCTCCACCAGGGAAGAAGGGGTGAATGAAGGTCTACATCAGGAATGGGGTGGGGGTGACCAGCCCTGAATCTACCCAACAAGTCGTCTGCATCATTATTTCCCATTAGCCCAACTTGGAAATGAATGAACAAGAGCAGCAACAGAAATGTGAAGCATAAGAAAAATTCTGTGGTGTGCTGAAAGCAACCCTCTTTATCCTTGTTACCTCCGATAGATATATTTCCCACCCCATTCTCTTGACTGTAACTTGGTTTAACTGGTTTTAAAATTCTTTTGAACACTTAACTGCTTTTAACTCTCTTTTTAAATTGTTGTAACCCACCCTCATGGTGAAATCCAAGTAAGAAATATAATAATAATAATAATAATAATAATAATAATAATAATAATAATAATAATAATAATACATACCTGCTTGTAGTCCCTAGACAACGTGTCTATTGAATTTGTGAATGCCTGGCTTCTTTTGTTGTCCAGTGGTGGGTTACCTATTGGGTCCAAGTACGGGGTGTAAACTGAGCCCACACAGTTGGCGTTGCGGTTCTGCTGAATGAGCCTCTTTAAGGACATCTTGAATTCCACTGAAAGTCATTCACAGGCTAGCATTGCTTAAGGAACCTTGCGCGACTGAGGAAGGAAGCAAACTAAAACATAACCTCAGTTGTGAGCAAAAGTAGCAAACACACGAACAGGGTGGAGGGGGAGAGGAGAACAAGGCCATGTGACTTGTGGTTTAGGTGCAGTTTACATAAATCTCTTCTCACAGATCAGTCAGTGTTACTCAATGTTTCTTTTTAAGCTTACAAGAGTTTGTCCCTGCAATTAAAGCAATCTGCTTATTCCCTCCCCACCCACACACACTATCAACCCCCCACCCTCCCGTCCAGGAACACACACTGCTTGGATGCAAACAGAAGCAACTCTTTATCGTGCAGTTTCTATGCCCCCTTGATAGTTTGTGTCTAAAACACCATCTGGCTTTAAATGTCCTTGGAGTTGATGAGTTTGCTGCTTTCTCAGGCTTGTTTAAGGTTGTTTTGTTTTTAACTCCCCATTTCCCACGGAACAGGACAGATTAATAAGATTTTTGTTAATATAAATAGATTAAAACCATAACTTACATGTAAAGCAGTAATTCTTCAAGTGGCGGCAGCCGGAGGCCTTACCCAGGGATGTGTTAGAGAGATTGAGGGCCACAGCTTTCAGAGGGCCACATGCCAAAGATGAATGAAGCCAGAGGCAAAAGTGGGAGGAGCAACAAAAGGACGTTTCACCTTTCCTCAGTAGGCTAGTGCTTTTTACATATCCTCAACACACTCCTCTTTCCAAGCAAACACAGGCAATATCAGAGCAGGGGCAGATTTTAGGGGAGTACAACTGGTTCAACCACACTGGGTGCCGAGTCAAGAGGTTGCTTCAACAGAGACTTAGAGCAGAAGGCGCAAGAGGCCAGGGGTGCCAAATTTTGGTGTCACACAGAACGCCCGCCGGAATCTGAAAGTCCAAAGGCCACCACTGAGTGCAAGGGTATATTCCAGTCTGGCAGAAGCACTCAAGGAGGGTGCAAATCAGTGCCAGTGAGGGGTGTGGCGCTAGATCAGCAATCTCCAACCGTGGACCACGATTGACAGGTAGATCGCCCTGGTGCTCCTGGTCAATCGTGACATGCCCCGCCCTGCCCCCTGCGCTATGTCCCATCGCTGTCACCGGTGAAAGGGGGGTAAGCTGAATAACTCTTGCCCCAGTCCCCCAGTCCCTAAAAGAAACTCAAGAACACTTGTCATCCCCTCCTAAAAACAGTTCAACAACTCTGGTCAATCCTTCCCCAAAAAAGCTCAACAACTCTGCTCACACACCCCCCCCCATAAAATAGCTCAACAACTATGGTCAATGACAATGGGTCATTGACAATCACTGCCAGTTTTATTATATGGGGAGTAGATTGCAGTCTCTAGAGAGTTGGGCGTGCCTGTGCTAGACCATCCTGAGGTCTAGACAGAGAGCTGTATTTGGCCTCCAGGCCTGAGAGACACACACACACACACACACACACACACACACAGTATGACTGTAAATGTCTGGTGTGTACCCATCCTTAGTGTTACCTGTGAAATGGGCCTTTATCTCGCAGCTGTATAGGGTCAATCTGATATCTGTGCAGGATTGTCATTGTTGAATCACACTGCTTCATTATATGCAAATGAACCCGGGGATGGGAATTAATCTTTAACACAGTTGTTTTTATCCGCTGCAACCTGAATGCATGGATATGTGCTTCTCTTTTACTTCAACTTCCTGAATTCCAAAAGGCTATAGGCAAGACAAACTACATAGCAACTGTCTAGTCCATCAGGCTTGTCTTTCTCTGGGGATTTCTGAGGAACTATATTTTGGGATGCAAACATGTAGGTGAAGGTGAATTTGTGAGTCAAGCTTATCATCACCCTTCTTCCAATTAACTAGCGATGTTCCCAAAACTCACATTTGGATGCATGAATCTCAGTGGTTTGTAATGGTCACCTCAAATACAAGACACACGTTACAGCCCTAAAAGTTTAGCTATTCTCCATTTCAGAGTTTAATTCCTCCCTCTTTGTAATACTAGTGCAACCATACTCCACACAGCTCATATATTTGAACTAAATGTGCTAGATAATGGAGTGGTCACATTTTCCCAGTGACAGACTAGCTGTTTCTGCTTGGGAACTGAGAAAATATGATATCCCCCTCAATCTAAGCTTGAAGGGTGACATCTGCATTACCCGCAATTACTGTGAAACATGCGGTTTTATTGCATGAAGAACCATTATCTGTGGAAAGTCCCCTGAAATGTTGAGAAACCGGGGTTGGCACAACCCTTTAAAAAATAACTTCAACTTAATCTGATTTCTTAGCTCATTTAAATCATCTTTAACCAAAACTCGGTGCTTTTTTGCTTCTTGTTCCCCACTCTTCTTTGGTTTCCTGTATATACATTTGCAAGAGAAAGATGGGTTTCATTTGCTATCTTGTTTCCTGTAAAGGGTGAATAATGTCTGGCCTTCAGGATGAGTGTGGTCAGACACCCTTCAGAATACTCTTTTGCAGTAGTGCACCTGCATATTCTTTGAGCAGTGCTTTGGGGCTGGTGAGATAACATCTGCACAGAGACTTTAGAACTTCCAACTAATTTCAACACTTTTATCAGTTTTTACAAGGCATTGCCCAGTGTAACATTTCTTCTGAATCATAGTTTTCAGGAGAAACTATCTCTTTGTCAGTTGCATCATGTCACTCAACTTGATCTAGGAACAACAGCAAGATAACTGTGCAAAGACAATTGAGAAGGGAAGGAGCCTGTCTGCAGATGGAAGGCACATTCATTCTGTGTCCGAAGTTGCCATTCTTTCTTTACCTCCCATAAACCTAGACCCTCCAAGTGTCCTATTTTCCAGGGATGTCTCTGATTTAGAGAAACCATCCCGGTTTCTGTTTTGATCCCAAAACGTTATGTTTTTCCTTAAGATGTCCCTATTTTCATTGAAGAACTGTTGGAGGGTAGGGAGTTATCCAACCCCCGAGCCGTCTGAAGGCAATCCTGTATAGGGAAGTTTTTTTAATGTTTAATGTTCTGTTATTTTTTTATATATGTTGGAAGCTGCCCAGAGTGGTTGGGGCAACCCAGTCAGATGGGTGGGGTATAAATAGTAAAATTACCCTTATGTAATGGGTTGTCCCTATTTTCACCAGAGAAATGTTGGAGGGTATGTAAACCAGTGGGGACACGGATGGCGCTGTGGGTTAAACCACTGAGCCTAGGGCTTGCCGATCAGAAGGTCGGCAGTTCGAATCTCCGCAACGGGGTGAGCTCCCGTTGTTCGGTCCCTGCTCCTGCCAACCTAGCAGTTCAAAAGCACATCAAAGTGCAAGTAGAGAAATAGGTACCGTTCCGGCAGGAAGGTAAACGGCGTTTCCGTGCGCTGCTCTGGTTCGCCAGAAGAAGCTGTACGCCGGCTCCCTCAGCCAGTAAAGCGAGATGAGTGCTGCAACCCCAGAGTTGGTCACGACTGGACCTAATGGTCAGGGGTCCCTTTACCTTTACTATGTAAACCATTCCATGGAAGTGATGAAGCTAACTAGATAAAATGGTTTTGCTAACCTCCCCTCCTTTTTTTAAACGGGCTCCACCATGGCTCCGCTTGCTTTACTTGCATTTTTAAAGTAAAATTGTTAAAACTACTCCACGGACACAGAGGGGGAAGGGGAGAAGACATGTGCAGCTTGTCCACTGCTTATATAATGGGCACTCTTCAGTAGGTGCTCATAACTGCTCAGCGCTCATAGATTGCCATGGTAGTGGACATCACCCTAGTGGAAACTAAAGACCTTCCTCCAAACACCATTCTTTCTTTTCTTTTTTTTAAATCACGGGCCAACCATTCACGTCTGCCTGAAAAAAGGATACAGCAGCTGTTGGCCAAGGTATCCACACTCATTTTTATCTGTTTCCCCTTTCAACTTTGATCATAATGCAGGTTGCAAAGCCTGCTGCACCAGAAACTAGACTGCGAGAAAAGAAACGAATATGTACACCATGATCGATGGCGTTTCTATCTTGCCACTTTGGGCTCTCTTAAAGACTATAGCGTGTCTTCATTTATTTATTGAATCTGTAGACTGGCCTTCATCGGTAGATCTCGGGGTTGTCTTCTACCCCCAGCGGTTTGGTGCTGGTACAAGAATCACAGCTCAGCTGCATTGCACACATTTGTTTTTCCTTGCCAGCACACGTCCTCATTCTCCTCCACCACCACGGGCCTAACAAGCCAAGGATGCTCAACTCTCACACATTCACCTCACTCTCCATCAATTCCCCTCTCTTTTCTTCTGTTTCCTATCCCCCTGCCTTGATTCCATTCTCTTTTATTTTTCTTCCATCCCACTATGTTATTTATAGCTCAGGGCTAAGGACATGTCTCGCAGCCTGGCAAATCAATCACTGTAGCAAAGCAGAGATCAATGAACAGATGGAACTGGCTTGAAAGTTACCTGGCTGTTTGCAGTTGGAAAGAGGCTCTAAGTAAGCTGCAAGCAACCTTTTTTTTTTATTAATTTAAAAGGTGGTGGGGAAATCCAGTTCCATGTAAGATGAATACTAGCTCTAACTTTCACCCCAACCCTACCCCACTTTATCTGAGGGCTGCCTTTCAAAAACAAATTTAGTCAGTCTCTCTCTCTCTTAATAGAAATTAATCAGGCAGTTTCTCACAAGTGTTCCATTTATTAGGGGTAGTTTGAACCACTCTCTAATACCCCTATTACTAGGTGCATGTGATCATAGTTGGGTGGAGATACACAGCAGTTATTGTAGGATGAAAGTGAACCATCTGCTTGTCACTGCTTGTCACTGCTTGTTTTCTGCTGAACACAAACTAGGTGGTTCCTCTAGGAATAGCATCATCTCATCACTTGCTTAAGTGATATGACTAATGTCTCCAGTGACTCTCTTCCTCTTTTTTCCCTTTATTATGCATTGCTTTGTTGTGTGTTGCAGAAAACAATAAATGTGCATCCCTATGTCTTAAATTTTATATGGGCCTCCCGCCTTTTTTCTTTTCTTTTGGAAACAAAGCAAAACAGGAGAAAGCTGGGGGACTTCCGGGTTGGCGCGATCCGGGAATGGCGGATTCCCTCCGAGCTCCGGAGGGAATCGGCTCAGCGGTGGATGGGTCTTTGCCGTGCCGGCGACACGGGGACCCTTAAAAACCGCAGGTGCAGATGCCTACGGACTGAAGACTCGGCGGGTGCCTTAAGCGCCCCCCCTGATTCGCGAAGAGCCTTTTTAAAGGCTATGGAGGGGATACGGGGGACGGCGCGGCACTGAGAGTCGATCGCTACCGCCGCTGAGCGAAGCCGCGAGCCATAACCGGAGAGCGCTGACTTCCTTCCTTGAAATTTGGACTGAAAAAAGAACCCGTGAGTAATTTGGAACTGAGCTTTAAAAACTTTTACCTTTTGAATTTGAGACGACCGGGGGGTGTGCCAAAAGGAAGTCCCCATCCCCCCCCCTTGCAGACGATCCAGAGCAACGATATAAGAGCTAAGCTGGAGTGCCCACCCTGTAAAGGGTGAGTTTTAAAAAAAGACAGTAACTTCCAAGATTTGGAAAAGCAAATTTAAGCAGGAGAGTGGAGTGTTGGAAGAGTTTTTGTTTTGTGGTAAACAACCCTCCCTCCC